TATATTTATTAAAAATAAAGTTGAATTTTGTCGTATTTAAATAAGAATTTATTTGATATGATGAAATAAACTATGTTTCAAATAAATGTTTAAGTACCTTTTTTTAGTGTACCTTAATATATATGTATATATTATATATATATATATACACAAAATATGTATATAATAAAAGTTTATATATACTTTTCCTTAAACATTTCAATAATGATAAAAAGTGATTTGCCTCAAATATCTGTAGTTCTTCGCGTCATTTAAAGATGTTTTAATTTCCCGCGTTTGTGCAAAGGCATCGATTCGAGACGCAAGAGTCGATCGATAGCAAACTGTAGCGCCAAAGTTCACGTAAGTGGAGACCACTGGTGACAGAGTTCCCGGTGCGTTTCTTTTTACGTTATTTTAAAAGAAACTTTTCATTCCCTTCATAATTCATCCGCGTCATCTTAGCGTCGTAGAGTGGCACGTACACGTAAGTCAAAAAAATTAATCGTATCATCCAATATTTATCTTTATTGTGCGTAACGGCTACTTTCCCGAACGAAACGTAGTGTAAAACGCGTTGAATCGCGATTTGATTGTTTTTATCACGTTCTTTTCCGGATAGAAAATTCTTCGATTTTAACATTTTAATAGTGTCGAGAATTTAGATACTCGTTCGCACTGAAGGAAACTTTAATCGTTGCCAATTTTCTTATCACGACTTCATAAGAAAAGGCCATTCACATTAGTTTGCATTAATTATAACTTTGCACCTAACCTCATTCTCAAGCGCATTGAATGAAAACTTGTATAACTTAATTAATATATCTTAATTAAACAGCTTCTTACGTGATATAAAGGTTTAGTACCTTGCGAAAATGGCTGACTCTGACGATGAGTACGATAGAAAAAGGCGTGATAAATTTAGAGGTGAGAGGACTGAATCATATTCACGAGAGCGCAGAGACGATCGTAGGCGTGATGACTGGGTCGATAGGTATATAATGTGTTATATACATTTATATTTATTATTACATTTATAATTATTATGTTATTGTAACTATTGTTTATAGTCGAAATATAAAATTTTTATCTTGCTTTCCATAATCTATTAAAAATCTGATATATCTTCTTATATCGTATGAAAAAGAAATATAAGGTGCTTATATAATTTTTTGTTATTATGCTTTTTGCTATATTCTAGTATTATTATTCTAGTTATACTGATAGTGATTCTTATAGAGAATGGTCCAGTCGTCCTAGACAACGTCCAGATTATCGAGAATATCGAGGTGGTGGAAGTGGAGGTCGAGATCGTTACAGTCCTGCGAGATCTCAAGATATGGGACCACCTATGAAGAGAATGCGATTTGAATGGGATGATAGGCCAAGATATGGACATGATTATTATGGTGGAAGCGGTGGCGGTGGTGCTGGTGGTGGTGGAGGTGGAAATTCTTGGAGCCCAGATAATTATGCTTCTCCTCACCATGGCAACCATCACTATGGCAACCATAATAATAGTAGCAGGTTCGTTTGTTTTGTTATAACCAAGTCTTTTTCTGAATTTTGTGAAACTTATGACAAATAAATAATGATGAAGAGAGCAGGATTTATGAGAATTCCGCCAAAACGGAGTCGTTTGACTCCAAAATTATTAGCTAAATTAAGGTATTTACATTTATAAGATGCAAAACTTTCATTAAATGCAGAAAACTATACAATTATTACTCTTTAGAATTTTTGTTTTTATTTAAAGAAGATAAGAAATATTTTCATTCAATGACAAAGATATTAATGCATAAACTAATGTTTGCATTGAAACTAGCTAACTATATAA